ATCGTACACTTGGAAGATGAAAGCATATTAAATTTAACAGCTAGCTGTATCTTACGATATCTGATCGACTTTTCATTCAATTGATTGCGTTTCGAAATTCCGTGGTTATTTCTATAAGAGTCTCGCGCACGCATCTTGCTCATGTATTTTTCGACTGTATATGCACGCGCATGTTTGCTTGCGATGTGGCATGTATCTTTCAGTATATAGGAATAACGTTACCGTTAGGTACAAGTCTACATACGTGTCTTCTCTTCGCATACGGATACCGCATATACGTTATCTATGATAGCTCGCAGTGGAAAATGTCAGTGGCTCGACCACCGAATGCAACCCGAAGCTCTTCCGTGATGTTAAAATATATATACACGTTTTGGAGATGTCTGACCAATCGACCATAGCAAACGCGTAAAATAGTGTTGCGTCTGCGACGTATCCAATTTTACGTAATGGCATAATCATAGAACAAAATAATATCCGTTACTTTAAAAAATAGAAATAAAATTATTCTTTTACAATTAAATGATATTACAGCACCTGCAGCCATTCTATAAAAAGCAAACTCTATAATCTTACCTAATATCGATTCAAAATATTAGGTGTAGTAAAAAGTCATCGCTTTTTTTTAAAAGACATCTATCAGTAAAAACCGCAATTACTTTCTTACCAACAATATAAATATATCTTGATAGAGTAAAGTTTCAGCTTTAAAAATCTCTTTTTTAAATTATACGATACGACAATTTTTAATGGAGTTATGAGCAATTAAAGTCAAAATAATTCTTTTATTTAATCCGCGATAACTCAGTAATCAAAAGTCGTAGGAATATTAAAAAAAAACGATTTTGTAGGGAAAGTATCAAGCTTTCACGATAGGTAATCGAAAATTTTCTCAAATTCGTTTTGGACACGTTACAAATCCACAAAGTGAGAAGAAAATTTTTCGTCTTTTTCAGCTCGTAGTTTTTGGTATGTAAAAATTATCAAACTCATATAAACTTAAAAAATGTGATAAGCTTTTAAAAGTAGAGATTTCAAGCTTTAAAACCCTTTTTTTAAATTTGAATTTCATTCATTATTGACGAAGATATTGTATATACAACTTTGAGCTAAAAAATACGCGATGACTTTTTACTACACCTAATAATTCTATGCAAAACTTTTATCTGTCATTTTGTGTCCATAACAAGTTTGTATAGGGCTTGCGATTATTTTTCATTATTCTATTATACAATTTACATTTCACACGCGCATTTTTTGAAATGCATCAGAAGTAAAAAAATTCAATTTTTTGTCGTAAAGAAATTCTTACATTCTGTCTACAATCGGGATAGGGTGATTAAAAAGTTTTCGAGAGCCAAGGTCGGTGAGAAAAAATTCTTCCTTAGCGATAAGCTGTCGTGGTTACGCAAGATATCGTACCGTCTGCCGAAGATTGCAGAAGAGTTAGTGGCGTTGGCGAGGATATCGCGCGGTAAAGGTAGTGGGAAATAAAAGAGACGAGGTAGCAGAAGGCGCCGGCTTTGGTGGAATCAGTCGGAGAGGAAGTAGCGTGGGAGCAAGCAGTAATGTCATAGATCGACTTGGGGACGTTTGCACAGGAAGTCAGAGGACGATGGAGGGAGGGAGAAAAAAGGCGAAAGTGAACCGCGAGAGAAAAATCAAGGATAAATCGGTAGACGAATAGGTAGGATGGAAAAGAACGAAGAGGGAAAGATAGATAGATAGGCGGGTAGAAAGAGGGAAAAAGAATTACCGTGAGAGTCGACAGAGGCGGAAAGCACGCGGAAAGAGAGTCTCCGCGATAGTAAGGGAGACATAAGGCACGTGTGAGCTTTTCGAGAGAAACGTCGAAACGCGGTGGCGTACGAGTAAAAGCGGAAAGGATGGAAAAACGGGCAGACGAAGAGGTGGTGAGACGGGGATATGTCGGTGGTTGCGTGAGGAAATGGTAGAAGAGAGAGAGAGAGAGAGAGAGAGAGAGAGAGAGAGAGAGAGAGAGCAGAAACGGGACAGGAATAGAGGGATCGATGCTTGACTCTGGTCGGGTTGGTACCTATACCCTTCTCTTCTGCTCTCTAGCCCGGCCGCTTCGCTTCCAGAGCCGCCACCAACACCGTAGTCCGTAGTACGGCCATTTGCCAGCTTCTTCTTGCTCGGATCCGGGACGGTTATTAAAACCCGTGTGGCCCAAGTCGTGCCCCGTCACCGAAAGGAAGGCCGAACTTTTCCCTACTTCCGATTCTTTGCTGGAATTTAATTAAGGCCGCGACAAGGAGCGGCAACGTCGTTTCGAAGATCGGCCGACCCATCGCCTTTATAATATCGTGCTTATATTACCGACACTATCGCGCTATCACGAACCGATTAATGCCCGAGGAGAGGTAATACGTCGTCCGTGCAAGAACACCGCATTGTCGCGCCGGTACCATCTTCTTCTCTGTTTGCACTCGAGTCACGTACCTTGAGAATTCTCGTGGCTGCTGATAGTCGTTTGTTCAAGAAATAGGCGTAGCATATGCCGGTGTAATATGTCATTTCCTCACAAGATAATTTGCATTTTTGAAAAATTTATTCGTCACACGCTTTCCTTTGTCTCATTAATAAACTAAAATACATTAAATTTAATGGAATCGTTTAATTGTTTATTTACAAACATCACATATGTACGTTTAGCTAGGATTAAAAATTTTATATACAGAGAGTATAAATGATAGAGGGGAGAGAGAGAGAGAGAGAGAGAGAGAGAGAAATTTACAGTAAATTTTATAGTAAAAGCAGATGAAAGGATTCCACACTAATCATACAGAAAAAGTGGCTTCGGTCAAATTAATGGATACTGTGATATATTGTAGATTATGCTGATCAAAAGATTTCCTAGGAAAAAAAATCATAAAAAATGGACCGATTTTGCTGTAACTTCAAAATTGCTATTTTGAATCTGGTCGCGATGGACAGTATCTTTATAGTAAACTATTCATTTGTTGGTAACTCTATCTTAATACTTGTATGCACAGAATGAAACAGAATTAATTGATGTGAAGAAAATACATATATTCTATTTAACGAGAGATTTACCACCCTTCACGCATAGCAGGCAAAATGGTGGATGTATTCTGTATCGTATACGCAGGGTTGGCAATAAAACCTGGAAATTAGAGAAATCGGGGAAATTGGAAACTATTAGGAAAATTAGGGAAATGTTAGGGAATTTTACAAAATTTTCTGAAAAATTAAAATTCTCTCCCTTGGTTAATTCTAAAGTTTGAAATACTAACAATTAGATGCAAGCAATGTCAGCAACATTAATACTAATCTACATTACTATGTTAAATTGATCTGTAAAGACAATATTTAATAGTTTTCGGGATCAAGACAAAAAAAAAACAAAAATAATTTAAAAATATTATTTCAGGCAAATCATGCAATTTTATTTGGAAATCAGAGAAAAGTCATGGAATTTTAGGACGAGGAATTTATGGCAACTCTGATACGTAAATACACGTTTTGGCCCGGGCTTAAAAAATTGAGCTGATAAAATAATCTTGACATCCCCATTTTGCCCGCTATGCCGCTTAATTCTTATTCAAAAAGAGAGAGCCACGAAATGGACCAAAAAACTTGTATTGTTTGGAGTCATTTTCCAGAATATCGTTGTATATATTTTGTATTATACACGAATCTTGACTTGAGAACCGCTTTATATAGTCGAAGTGTTAATAAACTTATGATCGCGATCGTATCCCGAGAAGTGGCTATTACGTATAATCGGCAACAGGAATCGTTTCCCGACCCTCGACGTGAATCCCCATTCAAGTTTAGACGGGAATGTATGAAAGCAGAAATAAACGGAAACGGGAAGTGCGGTGCGGAAAGAGATCGCGGGCGCCTCTTTTGAGAGGCGGCGTGCTTCACGTTGAAGAAGAACATCCCTAAAGCTGGCGTTCCACTTGTAATTTTCCCGCTTTGGTGACTCTGTTACGAGTTACCCAGCGGGTCGGCAGAACGACTGAAATCCCACTTGGCAGACCACTGCGGCTTGGGAACACGACAAGGGGTATACTACCCTCCCTAGAGCGAGGCCCTTGTGCCTCGGACCACATTACTGCTCCGCGTGCGATATTCGTATTTACATGCTATACGTCAGAACGTCTAAAGTGGCCCGCGATACCTACCCCGCGTGCCTTCCATAGAAGGTTTCGAAACACGAGATCGAGCCGTCACGCAGGCTTAACGTCCACAACGCGTATGCCGTTACCCAAGGATCCGCAAATATTTATCAAGTACACACGATTTCGGTTTTCCGATCTCGAACGTTGCGGGATATTTGACGTCTGATGGATAAAGCTGGAGAGAAATGCGACGTAAAAAGGATAACTTCCAAAGGTATTGGGGCGATAACGTCTGCAAGCGACTAATAGCAGTAATGATAAAAGCTTTCACAATGCCGTATTTTGAATAAATTCTGACATCATATCACATCACATTACGCGTTGTACTGCAAAACGTAAACGTATCGTAAATGCAAAGTAAAAATTGGTGCGGTAACTTACATTCATGCATTTCACGTTTATCACGCTCGGAACTGTAATATCTCTGTATTGTTACAAAATATTAAAAATAATAACACAACACACACACACACACATATGAGAACATATTAAAAGATTTGATATACAATTTTACAACGAAATAACGATAGTGAGTTTATGTGAGACGATATTAATATCTAACATGTATCGCTACATTGTTTCTACCAAGCGAGCGGTATTTACTGTAAGTGCCTCTCTCGCGGGCAGAATGAGCATTCTTGTAATAACGGCGGAATTTGGCGTAGCGCATAAGCTTTTATCGTAAAGCTGCGAACGAGATAGAGAGTGAGCAGTATCCGGCTGGTGGCCTTTAATGGCGGAGATTATCTAAGATAGTAGATATCGCGCGGGGGAGTAAATTCCACGGATGGCCAAGACTCTACACGGCCAGAGGATATTTCCTACGATATTTTATCGCCCACCGTGCGTGATACGACGGCCCATTAATCCTGTTCTTGTTCCTGGACTCTGTCTCTCCTTCTATCTCGTGCCTTCTTTCCTTTCCCATCGCGCGTTCGGATCATCTTCCTCTCTTCCTCTCTCGCCTTCTCTCCGTGACTGTCCTCAACCGGAAAGATGATAACGGGGCTGTAGAAACAGTTTGTTACGTGGCACCAAAAAGGCGCGATGCGAGAGAAAGGGAGAAAGAGAGAGAGAGAGAGAGAGAGAGAGAGAGATAGAGGGGGGGGGAGGGTTGGGAGGAAGGCTCTGCGCTTTTCGGAGCGGTTAATATTTTTAAGAACCTCT